TGGTGTTAGGGCGGGGCTCTATAGATTATATAGTGAAAATGCATTAATTCTTTGAAAATCTTCTTCTCTGCTCCTGGGTATTAAATAAAAGAACTAAGTACATAGTTATGATGAGCAAGAGTGCCTCTTCCAAAATTGTGAAATTCATGGCCCCAGGGTCAGGGTTTCTGGTGTTAGGGCGGGGCTCTATAGATTATATAGTGAAAATGCATTAATTCTTTGAAAATCTTCTTCTCTGCTCCTGGGTATTAAATAAAAGAACTAAGTACATAGTTATGATGAGCAAGAGTGCCTCTTCCAAAATTGTGAAATTCATGGCCCCAGGGTCAGGGTTTCTGGTGTTAGGGCGGGGCTCTATAGATTATATAGTGAAAATGCATTAATTCTTTGAAAATCTTCTTCTCGGCTCCTGGGTATCAAATAAAGTTACTAAGTACATAATTATGATGAGCAAGAGTGCCTCTTCCAAAATTGTGAAATTCATGGCCCCAGGGTCAGGGTTTCTGGTGTTAGGGCGGGGCTCTATTGATCATATAGTGAAAATGGATTGATTCTTTGAAAATCTTCTTCTCTGCTCCTGGGTATTAAATAAAGTTACTAAGTACATAGTTATGATGAGCAAGAGTGCCTTTCCAAAATTGTGAAATTCATGGCCCCAGGGTCAGGGGTTCTGGTGTTAGGGCGGGGCTCAATAGATTATATAGTGAAAATGCATTAATTCTTTGAAAATCTTCTTCTATGCTCCTGGGTATTAAATAAAAGAACTAAGTACATAGTTATGATGAGCAAGAGTGCCTCTTCCAAAATTGTGAAATTCATGGCCCCAGGGTCAGGGGTTCTGGTGTTAGGGCGGGGCTCTATAGATTATATAGTGAAAATGCATTAATTCTTTGAAAATCTTCTTCTCTGCTCCTGGGTATTAAATAAAGGAACTAAGTACATAGTTATGATGAGCAAGAGTGCCTCTTCCAAAATTGTGAAATTCATGGCCCCAGGGTCAGGGTTTCTGGTGTTAGGGTGGGGCTCTATAGATTATATAGTGAAAATGCATTAATTCTTTGAAAATCTTCTTCTCTGCTCCTGGGTATTAAATAAAAGAACTAAGTACATAGTTATGATGAGCAAGAGTGCCTCTTCCAAAATTGTGAAATTCATGGCCCCAGGGTCAGGGTTTCTGGTGTTAGGGCGGGGCTCTATAGATTATATAGTGAAAATGCATTAATTCTTTGAAAATCTTCTTCTCTGCTCCTGGGTATTAAATAAAGGAACTAAGTACATAGTTATGATGAGCAAGAGTGCCTCTTCCAAAATTGTGAAATTCATGGCCCCAGGGTCAGGGTTTCTGGTGTTAGGGCGGGGCTCTATTGATTATATAGTGAAAATGGATTGATTCTTTGAAAATCTTCTTCTCTGCTACTGGAGACTATTTAAACAAACTAAGTGCATGGTTATGATGCATAAGGATGCCTTTTCAAAAACTGTGAAATTCATGGCCCCAGGGTCAGGGGTTCTGGTGTTAGGGTGGGGCTCTATTGATTATATAGTGAAAATGCATTGATTCTTTGAAAATCTTCTTCTCTGCTACTGGAGATTATTTAAACAAACTAAGTGCATGATTATGATAGACAAGGATGCCTCTTCCAAAATTTTTAAATATATGGTCTCAGTTTTTGGGGGTTCTTGAGGAAGGGGGGGGGAGCTCTATTGATTATATAGTGAAAAAGCATTAATTCTATTAATTAATCATTAATTAATCCTGTCTGCTCCTTAGTGTTGAGCTGATAAATAAATTGCTTAGCTATGATGAAAATGGGAGCTTTGAACAGAATTTTTAAATCGTGTGGTCCTAGGGTCAGGGGTTCTGGCATAACGAGGGGGGGGGGGGGCTTTTGATAATATAGTGGAAAAGTGTTAATTCTTTGAAGTCCATAGTTATGATGATGAGGGTAACTCTTCCTAATTTGTAAATTTCTTGACCCTTGGTCTTGGGTTCTGGTGTTAGGGTAAGGCTCTGTTGAATCTGTAGTGAAAATACATTGTACCTGTGAAATTCTTCTCTGCTTCTGGGCATATCGGAAGCAAACTGAGTAAAAGTTTAAATGATATGAATAAGTGTATTTCTACCAGATTTTTAAACATCTGGACCATTCGTCTAAGCATTCTGGTCCTGGGCAGGGCTCTATTAATTTGTATTCTACTGAGAGAAGTTATTCCCCTTTTCCATTCACCTTTGATAATTAATCACTGTAAATAATGTATTTGAAAGGTTAATAGAATAAGATAATTATGCAAGAATGCTTATCGTATAATTAAAAAGGTACTGTCTTAGTTTTAATAATCAGGTAGACCTGTAAGTAATAGATAAATAAAAATGAGACAAAAATAACTTATCTTATTAAAAGTTCTTCAAAGACCATAAGAGAGGTCAATGCTAGAGGTCTTAATATGGATTTAAAAATAGTACAGAAGCACTAATAGTTTGTCAATAGTCTGCATGGTGATAGTGTTAAGTGGGGGACAGATTAGAACTTAATTTATGAGTTGATACTGAATACTAGACTTATTATTTTGTTGATCCTGATCTTCCTACTTCTCTTGCTTTAGGGCACATTGCTTCATCTATCAGTGTATTTAACTTGAAATTGTTGTATTATACTCAGGTGACCGTTAAGACCCTTGGGCCTCTTGTTTTTTTCATATTACAATACCCGTGATCATCTGTTTTGGTCAGGGAACCCACCTGACAATTGTATTCACCGATAGTACAACAAAGGAATGCAGACGAAAATCGCCTTAGTTACAGTATGACTTTGAGAAACCTAGAATTCCACGTTTATTAAACGTGTTACAAATGAATTGTTTGTAATTGTGAGCATAAAAATAAAAGAATAAAAATGGACAGCACGGAAAAACATGCAAATGCATGGAAAAAATGTCCTATGTGCCTTTTCGATCGCCTTGGGTTTTTTTTTTTAAAAGCGTAAAATTCCTGTAGTATCCGTAGTAACCCACAATGCAATTCAACTCATTCAGATTAAGCTATATTGGTACCCCATCTGACGCCAAAAAATATAGTCCCATTTCACATGCAAGCATGTTTGTCCAAAAAGAAATTTTAGTATATAAGTGCAGAAAATAATGCAATGAAAACTACTTATTAACGTTTAAATGAATTCAAGAGAGATTGAAATACATTTTTGCATATATTATTCAGTGGTGAAAAATGAAACGCAAGATAACTTTTCTGTTTACCATGTCTCCACGTGCTAGTCACTTCCTAGCCACATTTCCGTGAATAATTTACCTTATCTCGTTGTAGTCTCGCTAGATCTCGCCAGAGCTACTGTGAGAGCTACTGGGAACTCCTCGGATTTTATAATTTGCAGAACACCGAAAAATAAAATGTTCTGAACACATTAGTAGGAGTGCGCTGAATACTATCATTTATGTAGTAAATCCAAAAAAAAAAAAATCCTAAAAAAAAAAATAAAAGGATCGCCCGGGATTTGCACCCGGGGCCTCTCATATACTAAGCGAGAGTCATACCACTAGACCATGGAGGCACTTGATTATACACAAATTAAATGCAAACATTAGGTCACATATAATGTTTATATTCACATTCGATATTGTCAAAATTTTACACAATACATGGTGTCTAATTAAGCCTTTACTAAACAGTTCTAATAGATGTAATTAGAATATAAAGTCCGCCGACAACCTGTATTATACGTAATAACTCTCCAGATATCCCTGTGCTAAAAATAATGCCAAGCAACTTTTAATACTATGAATTAAAAAAAAACGGGGCGGGACACTTTGAGAGGGGTGAGAGAGGCCAAAGGGTGTTATGGTATAAAATTTCATTGCAAAAGCTCAAAAGCTTTTTGAGATATAGCCCGGAAACGAAAGTGTTACACACAGACGGAATTTATGAATTTACGACCTTGAACTTTGACCTTTTGACCTCAAAATCAAATGTGGTCTTCCTTAGGCCACAGGGAGTTGTTATGTAAAATTTCATTGCAAAACCTCAAAGAATTCGCGAGATATCACACGGAAACGAAAGTGTTAAAACAGACAGAATTTGTGAATTTATGCCCTTGACCTTTGACCTTTTGACCTCAAAATTAATAGGGCACTTCTTTAGGCCATAGGGAGTTGCTATGCAAAATTTCATTGCGAAAGCTCAAAGGGTTCTCGAGATATCGCGCGGAAACGAAAGTGTTACAGACAGACAAATACAGCTAGACGGACGGACGGACAGACAGACCCAAATTAATATCCCCCACTTTCAGTGAAAGAGGGGGACAATAAACGGAATACAGATCTTAATGCAGTTTTGTGTATCTAGTTTTTTAGAAAACTTCAGGAAGGGTATATGGCATGTTTCCAGACAAACAGACGGACAAAGAAAAAATTAAAGATTTTTTTGCCCATTTCATGTAGATGTAAGAGAAGGTAATATCCTTCAAAACAGTCTAGTTATATTCTATATACATGTATTCTGTTACAGTGGCGGTTTTAATTTGACACTCTAAATTTTCTTATCATACAGTAACCTTGAAGCCGTGATACATAAGTAAACTACCTTACCAGCTGATTTTATTTCATTCTAATTCTGTTGTAAAATATCAGCGTATTGTATTTGTACACACATAATAAGTCCACAAAAGCTAAAACAATCATGATTAATAAAAAGTTATGAACAAGCATTGACAAATTTGTATTGCACTGCAATATCAGAAGAACAGGTGTTTGTTTCATATAAACATTTCTATGTGCTGCATTATGGCAATGATATTATTTAAAACTGTACATGTATGGTAGAAACGATAAAATTTTACTGTATATTATTAGTAAATGCGGAAGAGCAAATGTAGCTTGTCAGTGTCCATTCGATGTGCGAGATTGACACATCTGCACGTTCCACAGTGATGGGCCAAACCCATCTATCCTCATCTTAGGTCATTAAAATTCAATTAAAGATTAAATCTTACCTGCATTTATAAGGCCAATACATACAACAATAAATGAAATGAAAACTCCTTTTTTCTTGAACATATTGGAATATACTCCTGTCACTGGAATGAAAAAATAAAATTAAATAAATACATACGACTCATGCATATGTATATGTACAGTTTGTATAGGAAAAGATTTCGAGGTCCACTGCAGGATAGAGTGTGGCATTAAAAGCAAAAGTTGAAAGATGTTCATCTTAACTGGCAAGAACGGACATATGGTACATCGTAGATGTAACGCGATGTACCATAATGATGTTTCATCAAATTTTCTTAACTTTTTAGATAACACATTTTTTCTTGACATTAAGTGTGTAAAATACAACCAAAGAGTCCTTATTAAATATGATATAAAATATATTTGATGTTTATGTCAGTTGTTATTAGAAAGTTTGAAATATTTTTTTCAAATTACCTGTTATGTGAAAATTGACCTTAAAACATGTTGAATGGCTTCAAGAATTTAAATCTGAGTCCCTTATTTTCACCCCCCAAAAATTTAATGTCGGCTTTACAGCTTTCGCATAATGCAAACATCGATCGTATTTCAGTTTTATTCAGGCGATCATCATAGGGTAACTGAAGCGAGTGATTTTTTTCTTTTGTTATCCCTTTCTCTTCACTGTACTGTCCTCTTCGACAAACATGTATCTTATTTTGTCAAATAAAACTTCATATATGATTTTTTTTTATACTCATGCTAAAAATGTTTAGTTGACATAATAAAATGTGTCAACACATGTGGTTGCTGATGCATTCATACAAATTGATGAAGTCGTTACTACTAGGCTTTGGTGCATAATCTGTGTTCTACATCAGTTGAGTATGTATTATTGCATTAGTTAATAACTATAAAAAAGTGTGGATGCTTATACAAACTGAATATTGCATTAAGATAGAAGGGCGCTCTGTTGAGAGAAGGGTACCCTATTGATTAATTTTTTTAAATCTTTATTTTTTAATACAATTCAAAGGACAAGGTATCATGGTAACGGCCGAATCTGGCCCCTTATTTGATGCAGAAATCAGAACACAATTAAAATTTTGATAGTTTGTGGTTAGGAACTTAAAATGATGCTTGTTTTAAAACCAGTATTAATTTTGATTTAAAGCTGATACGGAGGCCACAAGAGAGTGCAGAAGTAGGATATTTTCCCGAATTTCCTCAATTCTGGTGGAATTTTGTCAAATTTGAATTACTTTTCACTTCGGGAAACATAGAGCACAAGCTTGCCTATCTGAGATTTTTATACATAAGATACATCTGATACTAGTGTATAAAATACAGGTATATAAATTTGGTAGATAGACAAGGTTGTGCTCTATGTTTTCTGAAACAAAATGTCCTGTAAAATCGATGAAAATTTGCATAAAATTGAGAAAACTCGGAAATTAACATATTTTCTGACCTTCCTGTGACCTCTGTGTATCCCATAACTTAGAACCAATACTCATTTTGTGGCAGGGGTGACAACAGGTTTTTATTGATAAACTGTTGCATCATTCTAAAAGACACCCCAAACCAGGGACCAAAAAGGGGTATTAACCTATCTTGCCCTTTGTAATCTATGTGATAGGGGCAAACGTAAGTCAAAGCATTATTGATAGAGAATTTTTTTTATAAAAGAAACAATGATATGAAAAAATTAATTTAGAGTAATTCCTATTTGAAAATGGTCAGTTTCCCTAAAATTTGTTTTCCCAGTTCAAAGATGCACATAAAACTTTTGGCTCCTTTCTAAATCAATCTTCTGTGTCAATAGACAAGCATGAACATACTTTGATGAAGGTACTTGCAAGTTAAAACAGAAGGTTATGTTCAATACTTAAGCTGACCGTACAGGACACGCAACATATGTCACACATATACATAATTATATGTAAGTCACTTATTTTACTTGTTTATTCTGCTTTATTCATTTGATAGTTTGTAGCTTGGATATTTCCTAGAAATTTTTTTAAAGTGGTAGGGGATTGAAGAAATCTATCCTTTTCACATCAAAATTATTGGATGATAAACTGAAGAGTTGTTGGTCTTGATAGAAATTGATATGAAATATAGAGATAACGAACAGTACTCAAGTTCGTAAGTCCATTGAAACAATATAAATTGGGCGCAGAGCAAACACAGACCTCTAAAAACATCAGAGGTGAGATCAGGTGTTATGGAGGAGTAAGCATCCCCTGTAGACCGGTTACTCCCATCGTGTGCTCCTCGTCATAATCGGGCAAAAGGAAAAATCCGTTGACAATTCAGTGTGAAAATAATGGCCTAACAATTTGTATACAAAATGTCAGTCAGCATTCGACTTAATGATAGATTGTATTTAATGACAAGGTCATTGTATCGACCATAGAATTTGCGAAATGTTGACTGTTGGTATCCTTGTTTCATCAACTTGTTTGTCAATAGCTTGCCTCGTTTGAGAAATTGTGCGTACGTAGAGCATGCTCTTGCATATCGAATAAACTGGTAGACATAAACTCCATATGTAGCTGATAAGGGTATATTGCTACATAAATAAGTGAAGTTGACTATATAGAAAAGTTTAAGTTACCAAGTTTATCATAAAGTTTGTTTTTAGGTTACGATTAACACCTTTTTCTAGTAAAATATCCAAATATGAAACAGATGTATTAGACTGTGATATCTTTTATTTCGAGTTAAAGGAATATATCGAATGAACTTCGGAATGAAATTGATTATTGTTAACTGATTAAACGTCGTCGATATATCTAAATGTTGACTTAAAGGCCACAGCAAGAGACTTCTTCTTTTCTGCTTTATATGAATACAAAAATAGGTCTAATAACGGGGGGTAATTGGTACCCATGGAAATTTCGACAGATTGTTAGAAATCCAATAAATACATACTTTAGATATAATCAATCAGAAACTCAAGCATCTTCTTAATATCAACTTTGAAGTATTTGTGTGTACAATCAGAATGTTTTATCAAAATATTTTTTGCAAATGAACTATGAAAAAGCTGTCTATGATGTCAAAAGACTGGATTTCAAATAATCTTGGGGAATGGTTATATAAAGTGGTGAAATGTAGTACGTTTTGATGTTATTGATTTGGTTAAATTCTGTGATTTAAATTTTCTAAAAGTTCCTTGGAGTTTTCAAGTATTCACACCTGATACATCACTTCTCGAATATATTTTTTTGTACAGAAGTCCTGCAGTTTCTTTTAACTGCTGTCAGTATTTAGTGAGGAGTAAACACAGAGGCGTGATGGAACATTTTCTGGAATCCGCTTTGTATCTTTGTAAAGATTTTTATGTAATTTAGGAATCTAGTATGCTTATGGTAATACAAATTCAATTGATTATTGGGATACTTTAAACTGACAGATGATTTTGAAAAATTTCATCTTTAAAAAGGAAGCTATCAGTATATGTTGGATAACCACTTGGAGAATTAAATCCTAGTTCCTATAAAATACAATTAAAACAATGAGCCTTACAACCAAAGAAATTTTGTTACCTGTTTTGTCAGCTTGGACCAGTACATATTGATCATGTAATCTATCTAAATTAAATTCTTTTTTTTTCACTTCTGAATTATTGAGGTCAGGAGGATAGATGGTTTTCATATTGCCCCTCAATCGCTTAATACGAGATTTCAACATCCATCTGATGCTTTTAATCCATTCTGACAAAGTGTCAAGGTCTTCTTTTTCATGTTTGGTTCATCTCCTGACGTAATCTTCCGCAGAATTCATAATATTTATGAAATTATGACGCCAGTTGAAAGATCGGGTTCGTTCCCTAAATTTTGGCTCTTTATAATAAGCGATTAAAGGTCCTCATTATTAACTAATCTTTACTTCACCAGTAATTATGTGTCCTGCAGGACTATAGTTGTAGGGTGAAGAAAAACAGGAACACGTTGTAGGATTATGTTTCAGATGTTCGATATCTAGCAATATACCTTTTAATTTGTACCGTTTACCACCGTTGTAAACAAAAACTGCCATCTGGTTAACCGCTCAACGACAGTATTTATGATGGGTAGTTTCAACTTAAAATTTAATTCAGCAATAAATAATTTACTAGTGCATATAAGTATCAATAAAAAAATCAATAAGCAAAGCGTAATGGTTGGTAAGGTCACTGGAAAGATATTATTGAACACTTCGTAATCGAAGCTTATACTGCACACTTAATTTAAATATTGAATCATTCTCATATTTAAGCTTTTGAATAAATTCTGCTTCATTGAAGCATAAAACAGGTCGGCTAATAAATGAGCACAGGTAATGTCCACTGGAATTCCAACAGTTTGTTGGAAGACCTACATGTAGTATCCAAAGAATCTCCAAAGACTACAGATATATTGTCGATGAGGAACTCCAGCATCCTTATAATATCAACTTCAGAGTACTTGTGTGTAGAATTAAAGTGATTTTAACAAAGTAATTTTGTTGATGACCAATCACAAGATATAAAAATTTCCGAGTTCCATTTTCATATGAAGAAGCAGTCGTCTTTGATATCAAAATGCCTAGTTTTTAATTTATCGTGAGGAATAGTTGTATAGAGTGTACAAAACCCGTACATTTTGATGTTAATGAATTTTGAAAAAAATGGTAATTTTAAGGTTCTTTGGGTTTTTGCAAGAATCCACGTCTGATTTACACCACTTCTAGAATATGCTGTAGCAAAGTGCGTCTGAGGTTTTTCCTTTACCCCACCTCTGTTGATTTTTCGATGAAATCCTGGCTTACGATTGGTTGAAGTCTGTCACGTGAAGGGGGTGTATTACTTATACCTAGTCGCTTGAAAATCAATACATGGTCGATATGGAGTTATCGTTCTTTGTAACGTTCGAACAACTCGAGTTCACGCGATTTGCCGAGTGTCTGTTGACAATGTTACAGTTAACTAATGTAAGTAACGAAGATGGAACCTTTTTCTCCCTTTACTGAAAGTCTTCAAAACTGTCAGTACGTTATTACAGCACGAAACACTCGCAAAAAAACATTACGTCACGCAACGTGACGTCATAATAGGCATTGTATGAGTGATATATAGTGAGAAAAACAATTTTACAAACCACA